AGCCTTTCCAATTCTCGTTGATATTGACTCTGAATAAAAACTGACTGAGGTGCATGTACAGCAAAATTATATTATAAAAGAAAGACTAGAGGAGAAAATGAGAGGGACAGCAAACAGTGACCGAGTAGCAAGTAACCTAGCAGAATACAGTTATAATAAAGTCACGGTCGATGAGCGATTAAGTTCTATGACCAACAGAGCATTGAGATTAAATGACGGCAACTAGACAAATGCCCACAAAAAGAAATAAAAACGTGTTTGTAGTGAAGAATTTGCAATTAGTTCCTTATGTGAAGTATAAGTTGCTGCTCCTCACATGAAGCTGCTAGCTGCAAGTTCTTCGCTGCCCCGTAGAAACACAATCTAAAACAGCCTAAAAGGCAATTAAACAGCTGCGCACCTGTGTTCTCAACATCTCTTCTTGCAACCGTTGTATACGTTCATCAGGAGTCTCGCTAGCTTCCTTGTTTTCGTCGTCTTTCTTTGCTCCGAAAGCCGCCATGAGTGACAAGAGGGTGGCTTCTGGAAGCGTGGGAAACTTCGGATTGATGACACTGGTAGTAAAAAAGCGATTGATAAGGAAAATTACCTTTCACAGGCTTTGCGCCCCCGCCTGAATTGCCTTCTTCTTCTGAGGAATGTGATGCTAAAGATGTTGCTTTGTTCAAATGAAGCAATGACGAAGAAATGCAACATGAGAACGATGTTATAAAAAACCTCTATCTTTTCGGAAGCTTTCAAAACGAGCTACCCATTCGGCAAGCTTTGATTCAGAGCCCTCTCCACCGAAACCCTTCTTCATATGAGACAGCTGTTCAGACAAGTCTTGCCATAGGGCCTTGGCATCAATATTAGCCCAGTCTGGTAGCGTGAAGTCAGGCAAACCTTGCTTTCCAATCATCGTACCACTGGAAATATACGAGCAATTGAGTAAAAATGTTGGCTAAGTACATTTGGCAGACATCTAAAAAATTGGGAAGCGAGCACTCACATTTCTTGCAGCCAACGCTACCTCCAATTACTCCTGTAGCGATGAAGTAACGCAACTTCAGAAAATGACGAGCCACTCCAACAATGAACTGCCGTTCCGCTTGAATATTAAGCGCCACATGCCGCTGTAGAAGTCTATAAGATATCTATACGAACGAAAATCGAAAATATATTTCGATGCGCAAAAAGTTTAAATAGTCCTTCCCCATGTAAAAAAATAAGATAAATTAAATAGAAGACAGATTTAAGATTAGCAAGTAAGATTAAAAAGTCAACGCGTCGCACCAACGAGAAAATTAATGGTAAAATTGATCTTGTTGTACCCAATTTACGAAATTTCCCTACGCAGCCAAGTGTAGCTGTGGTAGATCTCAACTCTTATGACAGTTGAAAATAACAAGTGACCTTGGGATGCCTGCAATCCATTCGCTGAAATCAAGCTATAATGACACGCGTTTTAAGGTTTCGTGGACGCAAGGCGTAGTCTACCGAAATACATTTTTGCCGTTACCATAGCAACAACCAACTATGATGAAGATGATTGAACAATACTTACCGGATCAAGCCTGTACTTTCGACAGGTTCAAGCATCAAGCACTGATCAGGTTTATTTAGAACTCCATAAGAAAGTCTGCCGAGAAGGTCAAAATGTAATAGCCAGTTTTTCTTTGCGGTAACCAGCTTTGAATAAGACATAATATCGAAGTGTGACACTAATGATGACAAATCGATGAAAGTGGATCTTTTTATGCCACAACTGCTGCAGTGTGTATAACGTGACATGACTGCCCACTGCCAAAACGCACGGCACAGCTTCACACTTCATTAACGTATTATTAATGAAAAACTGTTTACATTTTGATGGGTTGCGCCTACCCGGATGTTCAGTTCTTGACTAGGGTTTACTCTTTCAAATAAATCCTTCGTAACTGATAAGTTTATTGAGGTTCTTAGTCAAGAAGCTCCAAAGAAGCGGGTGTGCGAAATGACTTTTGAACTCGGAATGGTATTGAGAAATTCCTGGATGACAATTACCTGTTACGGACTCTCGAATCACGATGACTACTGCTTAGACTGGTCAAGCCACGCCGGACGACATGCCTCACCGTACGAATTTGCATCTCGTCGCACTCGTTGAGCGGTTGGCATCCGCTCGATCTGAACGATTTATTTATTATTAAGAATACTGCACATGAAAAACAATTCGGCACGTGAGAGCAAACAAAAATAATCCACATAATTGAGTAATTTTTCAATCGTTCTTAACTTTAAAACGTTTATACAGAACAGGTACAAGAGAGAGTAAAGCGAAGAAAGTCAAGAGAAGGATGGAATGCAAATTCCACGTTACATTAGTATGTACCATTTGTTCTAAGGTGGATCCAGCTTGAATATAAAGGAAACTTGGTGGTGCTACACCGAGAAAAGTACCTAAGAAAAATACCCCAATGGGAACATCAAGTACTGGGCTGGCTATGTTAATGAACCAGTTAGGTAGAAATGGAGTCACCCGTAGAAAAATTATGTAACTGAGCAGATTGTCCCTGTGACTAGCAATGTCTTCTTGCCATTTTCGAACTCGATCTGGGAATTTACGCAGTACGATGTCGCGGCCAAACAGATACGACAGCAGGTAACATATTGAGGCTCCTGTGGCAGAGCATGTGCACACAAGAAGTAAAGCAACAAAGAAATTGAAGAGATAACCAGACAATATGGTCAGAAAAATCGATCCTGGAACGGCAAACGACTGAAGCATAATATAGACTACTACTACTCCGAAGAAAACTGTTAGGATGTGTTCATCCCGATAATGGAGTAGGACTCTTCCAAGACTTTTCGCATCTTCCAAGCTTCTGGGATATTTGAAGTCCTTTCGGTGCCTTTCTTCCATTTCAGGAAAGTTGTAATATACAATTAATAGCAGCGAGACGAAGCTGATGAAGAGTCCAACAAGGATACACACCCTACTTCGATCGGTGACGAGCATCGCACTGAACTGAAACATCCTATATTTGAAAGTCCTTCATGAAACAGAGCTGAAAGGTATTCAGTAAACGTTGTGGCGCAAGCACTAAGGCTGGTGTCAGAGTCCGCGATCCGTCGCAGGTTTCGCTGATTTCAGCGATTTGCGCGATTTGCGCGACGGGTCACGGTAACCACAAGTGCCCCATCAATACTGCAAAATGCCGCCGCCACTTCTGCTGGATAGTGATGGCTGAATGACGACTGCCCTTCATGATTCGCACTTGTTTGAATATTATAGGGGAATGCTAGAATTCTACATAGACTATAGGAATGAATCATGGAAATCACGAAACATGACATCCAGTAGGAATCACGAACAGTCGTCTTTCATCTCAGCTGTCGAATTTAGGCGCAGGAGATTGGGAGATCAAGCCAGCCGTAGCAAGTATCAATCAGCGCACTTCTATCCAATCTCCTGTGCATCTCATCACAGGTTCGTGCAAATCGCGCAAGATCGCTGAAATCAGCGAGACTTGCAGACGGAGCACCATCAGAGCGACATCTAACACATTCCAGAGCCCTAAGGCCGATGTCAGACTTTGCGAATCGCGCGATTCGCTACTAGCGATTCGCTAGCGTCCGCGGTCGCGTTGCGGTACCAGCCAATTGAGTGATTCACTGGCCGCGACGCGACCGCAGACGCTAGCGAATCGCGCGATTCGCAAAGTCTGACATCGGCCTAAGGCATTCAAAAACATGTCCAATGTATTCAATTCCATACTCAGCTCCTTCTTTGCACATGCATACTGGTTCAACCATCCCGAAGCTCCCTTCCCATCAAAAAGAAGAGTTACAGTTGCACCACAATGCTTCTCTCTACTACACTTGCGCCTCAAAATGTTTTGAAGTACTTCAACGCTGCGTTAATACGAGTAGGTAAATAAAGATAGTGATGTAACAGCCGCACTCAAATTCAACGAAAGAAATGAGCAGTGGTCTAGCCAGAACGTGTACCATTCGCTATGCATTGTGCCTACGATTCCTTTTGCGTTCACTTTTCAAAAGACAATAAAGCGAAGGCGCTGACTTAGCTGAAGGGGGAGGGGGCTTTGCTCGTTTTCCTCTCCTCGGAGTCCGTGGAGCCGTATTTCGAAACTGTCACGGTGCGGCGAAATAGCAACGGTCTCTATAGTGACTATTTCTGCCCGCCCTAAGATTACAGATGAATACAGCGTCACGCCGCCCTATGGTCCCACCCCCCACAACGGAATTAGCATGAGAAACAATACCCGAATTCCTACAAACTGCAAGCAACTCTTTGGGAAAGGCCGGAAAATTACGAAACAACACACCGAAAAAGATGTACAAACCACTGCAATCGCTTCTACCAGCGTTTCGCTCTCATGGGTCCTAGTCCTTTTTATAGGCACGTCATCTGCTCTTAAAATGAAAAAATCAACTAGAAAAAACGAACCTCAACCGAGTTGACTCATCATCCGTAAAACCTAGTACGCTGGCCGGAAAATTATCAGTCCATTTTAAAGGTCGGTGATACGGTAATATTCGTCAGCGGAGCAAGTTATCAGATGCACCAAGTCGGTTAATGCTGGCGCGTGAAAAGACTAAGGAAAAACACGCTTCTTGCAACCGATAAGTCAGAGACTATTTAGATTAAAGCTTTGTCTGATTTGAGGTGTAGATTTACCAAGATAGAGGAAATTTCTCAGCAATGTTACTCGTCGTTCTTCCTCAAACCGTGGCAAAGTGTTAGAGTGACAGCGGTTGTTTAATTGCCCTGCTTTAATTTGTTTTGGAACGCAATCTATGATTCCAAAGTGGATTGTTGATGGATCTGGTCTTGAATTCCTCTCTCAATACCGCAACATGCAGTTGAATTTGGTAAATTCATCCCCAAAATGACCACATGAGCTAGCAAACCCTTCACTCGCGGGATTTTCAGCCGAAACGGTTTGCCAAAGGTTGCAGGCTTTGACACCTCACCTAGCGTCTACTCCAATATTCTGAAAATCAGGCCTGTCTGAAGTGCTTTTGCAGTGGGGGGGGGGGTTAAGGGGGTGGCATATTGTTTGTGGCCGCCTATAGCTAACGAGCGATTTTCAAGGGAGGAAGCTCCAGGTCTGGGTGTGAAAGCAACCGGAGATCAACGAACATGGCGAACAAATGTTTGAGCGAAGGGGAGACTCAAGAGCTATCGGTGGGCGGCACTTTGCATACACACGAAATACGTGTTTCTATCTCGGTTTCAAAGTGGGCGCCCACAGACAATACCTAACCATATGGGCGCGGCCGCGGCGAACGCGGCCGAGTCGATTGTGCCCGCGAACCGTTGAAAACGCACTCGAGGTGCCCGCGAACTGTGCTGTGCTGAGTTCGCGGGCACCTATCAACTCGGCCGCGTTCGCCGCGGCCGCGCCCAAATGGTTAGGTATTGTCTGGGAGCCCTTTCAAAAACAGTGAATGACCAGGAAAAGAGTGAAGAGGACTGCTACGTACTCTGGAGCTTCCTGGCCGTGTAAAAGTTGTATTTACACCAGTCGCACGAACTATTACAAAAAGATGCTCAATTTTACTTAGAACCGATTCTACTTTGGACAAAGCGAAAATTGCATTTATGCAGTAACGGTGAACAAGAGAGTAAGGGTGTCACACAGTAATTTATAATCGCTTTCAAATTTCTAGTTTCCGATTAAACTCTCGCAGACTATAATTGCTACTTTTTCCAGAATTTGCTGATGGTAAACGTTCGAGAAGGTAACATACGCCTAGCTTTTCATATTCAATGGCTCAGTCATGTTCGACGGTCCCAGTGGATGTGTTACGCGATTTAAACTTGGGGTAGGGATATGTGCTGTTTGAACCGATGAAAGTAACTAGTTATAGAATCTTGATTACTTGGAATTGTTTCAGACTTGTCAGACATACTCGTCTTCGAACGCTTGCCTACGATAATCGTTTGGACTCTCTTCGTATTCTTCACAAACATCCGATACAGAATGTTACCCTCCCATCTCTTGCATGGATATTGACCAGACAGAAAACGCTTTGTGAGTTCGAATCCAGTGCAGTACCATGTTTCTTGAAAGCAAAGTTTGTATCATTCAATGAACACATCCTGGGCGCTGAGGCCGATCCAGACTACGATTCTGGGCCTTTCAAAGGTAGCCCCCCGCCCCTCCGTTTTCGCGCGTAGACTCTGCGCCAACTTCATCAACGCTCCTCGATATCCTGGAACACGTGATGCAATCCGGACACTCGCATCCGACATCAGTTTTGCGTGAATGCGATGGCGCGCGAGCATTTCTTGAAGTTTTCTGTTTTCTACCGCTCTCGCACAGCACGACGCCACACTCCTCGCATTCAAGAAATTGGAATGGGAGGTGAACGCTACCCACGTTCTTGATTATGAGAAGGACATGTGGTCAAGTGAATGTAGATGATATCCATACCTAGTACCGAAGGTCTCACTGAAGGGATAAATTGCGGATATGTGTTGACGACTCCAGTTGGACATCACATTAGAAGCCCCAACTCCACGCTTCTCCCTCACCAAGTATAATCAGCGGCGGGGGTTTTGATAGCTAGGAACTTCTTTATTTAGCTATTGTAAAACTTGCGGAGAAAAGATTGCATGCCGGACTATGAAAAATGTTGCGTAAAGTAAAGATTTTCTTTGAATGCGTCCCGAAAACATCATTTGGTTGGCTCATAACATTTTGCTCAGGAATATAGATTTGTTTCACGGAGTATAACCTGCAGGCCAACGGGTGAAGCTCTTGGTTTCAGTGTGTGCTGGACTTCTCATTCGTACCTATCCAATTCATTTAAGTAATGATGAAAACTCAAACCACTTACTTGGTACGGACAATAAAGAATAACACGCATTTCAGCCTTTTATGTGGTGGAATATCGGGGAAACTATACCTCTCCAACCTTTACTTCAGCGATTTTTACGGACCTATGCACAAGGAGGATTTCACCATGCCTGCAACATTGTAGGTTTTTATTATTACTTTTTTTAGGAACAGTATTACTTAAAAGGCTGAGTGAACTGTCATAATTCTTCTATTGGAATCAAAAAATAAGCTTACAAACGGATTTTTTCAGCCGCCATAAACATTTCGTAAGTGGTTGCCAATGGTATTATGACATCCGTCTCTTCGTCTCTATCAGTTCCGGTGGCGATTTGACGGTCAGTTTCAGTCATACTCTCACGCCGTCTTCATTATCTGTTATCCCGTTGATTATCGAATTAGTGGAACGGACGACAGCAGCGTCTGTAGCCGTTCCTGCCGCAAGCCCATAAGGACACTGTTACGAGGTTAAGCGTGTGTCAAGGGAACCTCGATGACTAGCTCCAGTGGGAGGGAAGGGGGATCGTAAGAGCTGGCGATCAGCAATGGGAGGAGCGGTAGCTTGTTTGGAAATGCGAGGGAACCGCGGCCCCAAGACTTGAAGGCAGGAGGGACTCTGGGCTGTGTGAGCCAATTACCAATTAGTATTACAAACGATTGTGTGTGAGATCACCGTGGAGCTGATTTTAGGCCAGAGAGTGCAGGCGGGAGCACCAATAGAAGCGGTACAAAGGGCCATGTTCAAGTAGCCCGTAAATGGTCTGTACGTAAAGAAGAAATGGTACTGGGGGCGAGGCGAAGGGTCCGCCCGCTTTACTCTGCATTGCTGCTCTCGATTGAGTAGCACGTTCGTGCAAACGAGCCTATCTCTCTTCTCATCCTACTAGAGTTGCATTCGTTATCAGATGCCTATTCACATTCATTAAAAAAGCAAACGGAAAGAGTTGAAAACGAAATCGACAAGGTTTTCTCGTTTAGGCATGGGACCTCACCAATTTAAGTGAGCTGGAAACCTACAAAGTTTGTGAAACTGGCAAGTGGCGACCACAGCTCCATTGGAATGAAATTGATAGGACCAATCCACTCATAGCTGTCACAAATGGATCGAATCAGATACCTCTCTATGATTTGAGGCAAGAAGATTGTACAAATTCTACAAGTCAATTTCCGTGGTTCAAACCTTCTACTGTTATTTTAGAGTGGGAGACTTGGCTCAAGCAGTACGAAGTAAAGACACTAGTGTCGTGAGAGCGGTTCGTTGGTTGCCTCATAAACATCACATCTTATTTTCTGGAAATGACAATGGTGTCGTGGCGGTATGGGATACCAGGTATTTTCACATTGCTTTTTCCTCTTCTTTTGCGATGCTTATGTTCTTAAGGGCTTTGAAGGCTAGTAAACCTTTAACTCGTAGCAAAATTGTCGAATTAGATGTATATTTTGCAGAAGCAATCGAACAGCTCTGTCATGGAAAACATTAAGTAAAGGCAATTGTATTCGAGCAATGCGTCTCACATCCGATGGAGCGCACTTAGTCATGGTTTTGTATAGTGGCACTGTTATACTTTGCGATGCAGTCACAATGGAGCAGTTAGGCACATATGAGGTAAATCTTATTTCCAGTCCATCATAGGTCTTCCATCCATGAGGTTTTGTCTGTACATGGAGTAAGAAGTTCTCTGACTCATGTTGATGTCGTTTCAATAATTACAAGGATATGCACAAGGTGTAATTTCCTTGCTACCATTATCACTGAGATCGTTTTTTATGGTACTGTGATCTTATCGTAGCTTCGTCTTTTCTAATTTTATGGCCTCAGGCTGAACCGATGTGAAGAGGATTGTAGCTTGGGGAGCAGCTTATGGAAGAGAGCAGTAGGTGGCCCTGTTTGACAGTGTGTATCATGAAGTGAAAGCGAAACCACACTATTTAAATCAATCCAACTAAATGACTTGTTCATAATTGGATTTTGCCCTGGTTGTGAGTTAAAGTTGAGGATGTCTTTGGTTATGCTGTGATTGACCCTTCCGTCGAGCATGAGTGAATCTTAAAAGTAAATCCCATCATGTGTATACGCAAAAAGTCAAGTCAGTCCCCAAAGCAGGTTGAAGCTCTCGGTGTTGAGCGATTGCTCTGCGATCTGTTAGACGCTGAGCAGAGGTGTTTTAACGCTACTAGCGCTATTTCAGAGAGATAACTTCTGGTTTTGATCCTAATAGGCCAAAATTCTTGACTCCTTCCAGGATCGGTGAATTTATACTCATTTGATGGAGGATAAAAACACTTAATATCGCGGCTGGCTTCTGCAAGCCCCTTTACTATGGGCCTTATCAAGTTAAATGCGCTATCATTCTGGATACAGAATCCAACTGTTGCAAGGGGCGTGGGTGTTCCAAAAAAGCACTGATTCCGACGCTAACAACTCAATCCTTTTCCCCCGGTAGTCATCGTCTTTGCCATAGGTGGCAATCATAGTTAGGTGTTAGAGCAAGAATGCTAGCCCATTGTTGTGCAATTTTGTGAATTTTCTTTTTCTAAACCACAGCTTTTAGTTCCACGATCGTCGAAGATGGAGTGAGAAAATGTCGAACGCACTGGATCACTTTGCCATCTGTGACGAAGGTTCAGCTATCAGAGTAGCTCTACCTGTCGGCGATGACATTGAATGGATTCGGTTCTCAAAGGTTTGTTCCCATATTTCGCATCGCTGTTGTCCTGTGCACTGAATGGTTCGATATTTAGGGTTTCTGTGAAGAAGCCCGGGTCTCTCATTGCTCTACTCTTTCTGGTCATTTGTCTCGTGCTGAAGCGCTTGCGTCTATAAGGATATGGAGCTCAGCAGGTGATAATCTTCTTGTCAAGTTATGGTATTCAAGATTATTTTCCAATGACAATGGCTGGTTCAGCTGTACTCGGCAGGAGCTGATCGGAATGTACTTTGCTGGGCTCCGGAAAGTGAGAGGAATCGCTTACACCTGGAAGCTGAGACAGCAAAGGCGAATGCTCTGTCGAGTGATTGGAGTGATGACGATTGATCTCGAGTAAACTAGCCACCAATGGAAATCTTGTCTTGGTCTTTCAAGGAATGAGCTTTGTCAGGCATCTTGGTATGCTTGACATGCTGAAACCAAATAGATGACAGCGATCTGTGAGCGGTTGATGAAATTTTGCTGACCGCATCGCTCAGAATTTATAGAAGACGATTGCATGCTTGATGGTGAACTGTGTTTCAATCTCACATTCTGCACTTTGTAATAATTCACTTGCTTGTTCTGTGGTGGACCTCTTCAGTCGTCGCTGTTGGTTTATATGAGAACTCACACCAGGATAAAAAAGGGTTCACAATACGATCGAACGTTGAAGAAAGGGGGACTCTAGTGGAAGTGGAGGCGGACCATCAAGCATGCGGGCCGAAACGCAATTCCCAACGAAGGATATTCCCCGGCGGTCTAGCATGACCCTCTCCGCTGCGCAATCGGCGCGGTACGCCCATTGGCTTCATCACACTTTGCCGCAGGTCACTAGCCGTTTAGCAGACAGAGCGCAGTATTGAAGAGGGCAGCACTAATGAGAGTAGTACCAGTGCGAAAATCTACGGGCAAAAGGGCCATTCATCGGGTTCTGGGGCGTTTCTCATGGTTCTTTCTCCATCCCGGCACTGTGTTAGCCGTTACTTGATCTTTTAAATGAGCCTGGCCTCATCGTAAATGCAGCGGTCACCGAGGATTGGGGAAGGGTTTAAGTGTGACGTGGTGGTGTTAAATGGTACGCCAGTGGTGGCAGAAAAAAAGCAGAAAAATCCGTTGAGAAAACGCAAAATGAGACCCCCTTTTACGGTGGTGGTTTTCACTCATCTACAGGTACTTACTTATTGATAGTCCTTCAGCTGGCGATCTTCTCAGCGGGGACCACAGCTCTTCCATGCTTCCCGGTTTCTGGCAACTTGCATCCAGTGTAGACCGCGTTGTCTGAAATACTTTGAAAACGAGTCGGCCCACCGGGTTTGCGGTCGTCCTAGCGGTCTTGTTTTGTTTCTTGGGAGCCATTCAGTGACTCGGAGGCTCCATCTGTCATCGTTCTCGGCGAAGTAACAACAAATGACTAAGGCCCCCACGATGTTTCGATATGCGCCATGTACGAAAATGCAGGAAATCGTTAAAAAAAATCAAGCAGAGTAACAGCTCAGCAAAAGTGAGCTTTCCACGAGTCATAACCAAACGCGTTTGGTGGCACCATTGCCAAATCACGCTTTAATCGAGATGCTCCATTTGCGCCGCTGCTGGCCACGCAGCTCGTCCAAATCAACAAGTAAACTGTGGGCGGATCGCTTTTGGGGGCGGAGTGCTTTCGAAGTCCTGCTCAGCAACCAGCGCACCTTTCGTTGTGAAAGCGCCACATCTGCTCCTTGGCAGCCAAGTAACTGCTTCGTGTGGTGCCCATATGCTTCCTCGTGTCCGTATTCGCTTCTTCAACCCCCCCCCCCCTTTGATTCGGCTATGATAGGCCTAATTCTCCCTGGACATCAATGAATTAAGAATTTGGTTCCAGTTGGCCGTTTTTTACTTGAGGTAAAAAGCCCAAGTAGAAGTTACATGACTGCATGCAGTATGTAGTCCGCCATGTATTGTGTATTATATGTTACATCTCATATCTAGAGCCGTTCTTTCTCACCAGGTTTGCACTTATGTACAATTGTATTTATTATATCTGATTATTCACGGGTGTGCATCTTAGGTCTTAATCACTTTCATTGGTTTTGTATTGAACTGAGCGGATGAAGATGATTTCAAATGTTAGTCTGATATGAATTTTGCGATAGCTGCTGTGTTGAATAGTAGCATTCGTGAAGCACGTTTTAAGGAATTTCTGAAAAAATTGCATGTGTTCCCAAAACTTTTGTTCTAACCTGTATATTCTCTACTTGTTTCTTCACATCTTTATTCTTCCAATAAATGAAACCTTGGATTTTGGTTTTGTAATGATATCTATCGACAAACATCTTCATGTTATTTCTAAATTATATGAATGTTCAAGGAATGTGGCGATAGAAGCGGTATAGATTAGAAGCGAGTTACCACCCTCGCCTGCCATCGCTATCATGGTGTTCCTTCTATAGTATTCAATTAGTATTCAATTCCGAGACCAGCCGACACAGCCCAAACTCCGCCCACTTTCTTCCTCCAAAATTGCCGTCGTCCGCGGGGCGGAGGGAACACACCGTCACCGAAACCGGCAAACAATTTAGAGCGCGCCAGACCAAATCCATCATCAACTTCCTCACGTAACATAACGCTAGCTCGCGGATATACGACCCCACCCCTTGCCCCCAAGTCGAGCGGGGGGGGGGGGGGGCCCCCCCCCCCTCGTTGGACTTTGCGCAACGGTTGACCCTGTTTTTCGACATGCATCTCCGCCACCTTGTGAGATACAACGCTGATTGTGTACACTGGATGACCCAGCAACTTAATGTGTAGGCCATAAGGCATTTACATGACACTACGGTTCGGAATGGAAGTGACGTGCATGGCCCACCCTAAAAGAGATTGATCAATACTGATCCTTCTCCACCAGTTCAAATACTCGTGTTACAAGCATAGTGTCGTTCTAGGTATTGAAGTCCCTTCCTCGTTTAGTAATTTTGCCTGTGGGGAGTGTGACTTGCTGTGAGCTCTGCTACAGCGTGACCGAGCGTTTAGCTAATTGCCATCGTGCTGTTCGTTCATGTGAAAAAAAGGAATTTCTGTGGGTGACAGGCGTATATCGTTAATTGCGTGAAGTTCTTTTAGCGAACTTCTACTGGAAAGTTGTTTATGGCATCGCTGAATTCGATTTCAATCCTTTGCTTGTTTAAGTGAAGTAGCAATTTGAAAAGGGCGGAAGTGGTGTAGTGGCAAGTGGCACGCTTACCACGCGCGGTCCGGGGATCAAATCCTGGGTCGTGAGTCGCCCGGGCCAACCAAGCCTTCCATCCCTCCGGGGTCGGTTAATTGGTACCAGACTTGTCTGGGAGGATAAAAACACTGACTTGTACATCGGCTGGCCCCCGCAAGTCATTGTATAGGCCACATCGCATTCAAACGCCACTACGAATGTAAATGGAAGTAGAATGCGTGCCGCATCCCAAAAGGGATTGATCAACGGCAAATGCTTTATCCTTAGCTTTTATTTAAAAAGTCGGATCTTAGGCTGAGCTATGTAGTGACAAACGGCGCCAGGTTTCACGCACACGGATCCGGTGATCAAATTGGATCGAATCTCGTTCAGGCCAACCAAGCCTTCCATCCCTCCGGGGTCGGTAATTGGTACCAGACTTGTCTGGGAGGATAAAAACACTGACTTGTACATCGGCTGGCCCCGCAATGTCATTGTTTAGGCATTACCGTTCAAATGCCACTACTAATTCAGAAAGTATAATACAGGGTAGCCATAAATCAGATCAGGTGTTCTTCTTGGCAGGTGGTCGCCATGAGACATCCAGTGGTGAAGGCACGTAAGGGTAGCGTAGCTACTAATAAGCGAGTAAACTGAAAAGAAATTAAGGTTGGGCGAAGGTGCTGCCT